CCCGATGGCAAACACCGAGGGGGCGCTTGTTTTACAACGTCGTTGCCACGCGACGAAAACCCAACCCCGATCGCAAACACCGGAGGGGGCGGCTTCTTTTACAACGTCATTGCCAAGAGACGAAAACCCAACCCCGATGGCAAACACCGGAAGAGGGGGGGGGAAAAAACACGTGTCACTAACACCGACCAGTCCAACACGCGATGTCTCGAACTCCAGCAGGAATACCACACCCGGNTGGGGAAGGGCTGGTGGCAAAAATTAAGATCTTCGGTGCCGGACCAAAATAAATGAGAAATGCGCTGAATGCGAATGCCAAAACGAATCTGTAAAACCTTTCTTTATGGAGAACAAATCTTTAGGATAAATGTTCGCCAAGATATGATGCATCGCGATTTATGGGGGGGGGAAGTGGAATGTTGTGGAACGTTGAAATAGGCGGTGTGTTGTCCGTCTTGTCTCCTTGACGTTGAGAGACAGCGCAAGTGCCACTTGGTCCAGAAAACTAAACAGGACACAGTCCTAGAAGGCGACTTCCCTCCCACAGCTGCATAGACTCAATATTACGTGGATTCCAGCGGTGGGCGCCCACCTGGGGTGCACAACGAGGCGACGTTGTCCGCGGTGTCATGCACGCGGAGAAACAAACCTGTTCCGTTGCTGTCCAACGGCCACAAGTGTGCATCAACCCGAGAGGCGATGCCAAGTGCAGGTATCTCACTACCTAGTAGGCGTACCGAGGTCAAACCTTCGGTGCCGTCATCTGCACTCACAGATCTGTTAGGGGCGCTAACGGCTTGGGTGTGAAGTGATTCGATCAATAGATGCAAGCATCGCACACGACTGAGCTGTTGTGGGAAAACCTTCCGCCGGCTCATTTATCAACTTGAAATTAGAGCTCGTTGAACGGTCCCTCCACAGATGAACATTTCGGGTCACCATCGATGCTTTTGACTCTAGATATTGGAGCACCCTACAACCACCTCACTTGCATCCGAGAGAGAACGGTTTGTGGAGGTGGCAGCATCGAAGGCTTGGCCTTGATGCGTCAACTACGGTAAGAGAGATGTGAACGGGTGCTGTCCGCTCTCAAATTGGAAATGCGTACTCTCCGTTGATGAAGCACGCGCCACCAGCCAGGGTAAAAAAATATTTTTTCGCGCACCTTGATCCTTTTTCTCCGCTGTCGGCACCCGTGGCATCCATCGACACAGCAAAGCCAGGGTGCGTTAGAGGCCCTTGCGAATATGCCACGTGCAGATTTCGTAGCGTTGTGGACAACAAGGTTGACTAACGTGTGGTAATCTCGCCGCACTAGCCAAGCATCGCCACCGAAGATTTGTCCCATCAAGATTACTGGACAAATCTTGGGTCAAGATTTGTTTGTTCAGGCAACTTTTGGGCCCCGGATAAATCTTGGTGGAGATTTTCCCGAATAATTGTTTCACATTAACTGTGACCTGACAAATCTTCGCCCAAGATGGAGATTTTTCCCAAAGTTCGTGTCCACATATAGATAGGTCTAAGGTGGGCGTTGGCTGTTCCAAATTCTCAAACATGAGGTACTTTGGGACAAGTAGTCGGCATACACAGTGACACAGGCCTCGATGGACCAGTCTTGGAGAACATATCAAAGACTTTTGCACAAAGAGGGCTTGCCACAATCCCCACCGGTTACAGTTGAAGAGCAACGATTAATCAAAAATCAACGCGGTTAAAAATATTTGATGCCAACATGGAGCCGTCGGAGTGGCTGTGGCGAACAACATTGATGACGTAGACCTTACACGCGCCGGGGAACATTTTAAAGCTTCCTCGAAACCTCAGGGGAAGGGGCTGGTGCTCCGCGGCCTGAAATACCTAGAAAATATCGGGGGAACTATATCGTGACCCCGAATACATAACGAGGTGAACTAACCCTTGAAGCTTCAGTACTCTGGTAGATTCATGATGTCATCACGTCGTCACGGAAGCATCCAGAAGAACAACGGGGGGCACGGGAGTACACTTTCCAGGACTGCACAGCCCCAATCTGATCTAAGGGCAACATCTGGAGCAGCCGGGGAGGGAGGATACAAACTCCTTGTAACACACACCATTTGATCAGGGGGTCACGCAGAAGACATGTATGCCAAAATACATGGGTTCACTGAATTTTTATCCCCACCGGCCCCCCTATGTCAATTCCTACATAAAACCAAACGTGAGCAAGAGCACGACAAACGTAGCCGAGGGTGGGTAGCTGTGCGGTCCTGAATTCTCTCCTGTGAGCCCCCTGGACAACAGAAAAAGAGGGGGGCGTGCTGACAATGAGACCCAAGGGGTCACGACGACAATCTCGTCCAAAGGGCGATTGATTGCCTGCTCAGGCACGAATTGATTGCCTGCGAGCAAGCAAGCAATAACACGTTATCGCTGGAGGTGGACACGCTTTACTCAATCACCGATCCCGATCTTTGGAGTGTGCGGCGTAAGTAGAGGACATCATGGACCAGTGAGATGCGCGTTTTGTGAACTCAGACTTGTTGCTGGGAGTGGCTTACCGTACCGTCAAAGTGCAGGTCATCGCGCACCCTCTAGACCGACTTTCGTGGCTCAATTGCTCCGCAACCGACAGGATGCCAATAGAGGTAAGATTGGTCTTCGAAAGATCTCGCCGAGATCGTTCTTTTCACCTATCGGTCGATTTTCGAGGCCAGTTGGTGTGGAGTAATCGAGGTTTAGAAGGCCGGTGTAGGGTGTGCGCTATCGCTCGCACTTGTACGTCGGAATAGAAAAAAACTCCAAAAGTCTGGATCCAGACCAAACGCTTGACAATGCAGTGCTCGCCGCCACGAACCCACTCCTATGGTCTCGTGTCGTCTAAGGCAGCTGGTGGTTTGGGGCTACAGGACCGCTGCAGTGCACCGCAGTTCAGGGTTTTGGGTCTGCGACGGCGCGTACAGCAGTGGGCCGAAAACGGTATGGACTCAGATTTGCTGAGTATAGGCCCGCAGCTGCAGTCTTCGACCACGCGCCCCCAGTATCAGTTCTGGGTTTGCGCATGTCGTTGCTCTATGATGCCCTCTGGTGGTACAACCCACAGAACCTGCTCAAACACCGGCCGTGCGGCCTGTTCTCTGGTGATTGTAGACTTGCGGAAATTTAACTTTGATATTGAGGGAGAACATGTGTGGAGGCAGACTCCGTGATCCACTGGTGGCGACAAAACTTGTTCTTGTCTATTATCACACTCTCGGTTTGAGATAGGGTGTGTGGAGGTACTCGTGTAGACTCCGTGATCACCTCTGGTGGGGAAATCAAACCCTGCGTGTGTCAACTTGAGTGCATCCCGAGGGTACACATTGCAAACTCCCAGCGGCAGTAAAGGTGCTGGGCACCCCGGTGCTATTCAGAAACTCCGGTTAGTGCGTCTTGGACACAACCTTCCTCGTTCCTAGCAGTGCACCATATGCTGGCATGATCACTCAAAGTCCTTCCGAGATCCGATCTCTGCCCAGGTGCCTAGCGTCCCGCTGCTGTGTCCAGCTGACCCGGACGCTAGAGACTGTCTACCACGCACAACACATATGCATAAGAACAGCCGGACCCCCGGTGATACGCGCCAACACCGAAGGCCTGCGACGAATAGTTGCAATCCAGAATAAGTGTCCCAATCCCGTAGCACGCTACTTCGCGCCCGAAGGAGGGTTTCTTGGTGGTATAATCGTAATCATCACACAGAAACCATCAGACACTCATCAAATCCCCAAAATTGTCCACGGCCGGGAGCCGGGAGGCAAAAGTACGTGTTGTTCTGAGTATAGCACCCCTACCCAGTACCATCACTCCGAAGGGTGTCATCACTCGTAGTCTTCTGCCTCACACCAATGCTGCCTAGGGTAGAAGCACGTGTGGGTCGAGATGGCAATGACCAGCAGCGTATGTACTGCTGTACACTACAGTGGTAGCAGCCGTACAACATAAGGAAACACAAATACAAACACAGAACAACTACCCATTCGAGATGACCAAATGCACAAAGCAGTATTGCAAAACTGGAAACACACGCGGGGGAACCAATGTACGCGCTTCTCATAGATACAACTCCCGGGACCTCGTGGCCACACCCACCTGCTGCAGCTGTGCCAAACAACAGTAGTGGTTTCCCCCCGTTTCCTCTCTGCTACGTGGTGAGCTGCCTCTCCTGAGCTGTTCTGCGGTCTGCCTGGTCTGCTCGGTGGATCCTGCACACGGCGCGTTTATATACCCCAGTACTGGTGTGGCGAAGCGGGCACCAGTACACAAAAGAAAGCCTGCAGAACCAGTCTTACAAACCCATTTTTGAATTTTTCGCCCCCGCATCCGCCCCCGCACCGCAGCGGCAGCGGGAGCCGCAGTGGCAGCGGCAGCGGTAGCCGCAGCGGTAGCGGAAGCGGCAGTGGCAGCGGCAGCGGCAGCGGCAGCGGTAGCGGTAGCGGCAGCCGCAGCGGTAGCGGCAGCGGCAGCGGCAGCCGCAGCCGCAGCGGCGGTCGCAGTGGCAGCGGCAGCAGCGGCGGCGGCGTGGCCAGGATGTTGTCGCCGCAGAATCGATTCATCGACGAGATCAAGGGGAAGATAAAAGCAAGCAGGAAGCACGAGAACGGGAAAGACAAGCAGATCTCTGAGTTCCCTTACCGTGACGAATGGGCGTCACCTCCTCTGCCGTCGCTACAGCAGTCCGCCGGTAAGTGCAGGACTGGGCGTAACTACAGAAAGAGGTGCTTTTGTAGATTGTTTCAAATTGGATTGTTTCACCATGTAGCTGCTGTGTACGTTGCGCAGGAGCTTCACATCAGCACCACATGAGACGATCGTATTCGTTGGTTTCCTCGCCACGTAGGTCCTCCACAACACCCGCACCAAGTAGAGCTTCGATAATTTTTCCCGGGCCTTGCTACATATATACCATCCGTGGAGCCTTTTTATTTGAAAAAAGTGTTCATGTGGGTGCCTGAATACATGTGGGACGAGATCGACTGCGTGCCCTGTCCGCGTTGTGGCGAGCGTGGGCAGCCGGATGGGTGGAATACTGACGCACGCCGAGTGTTCTTAGAACAAGATGTCTGCTACTTCATCGGCTACAGGTACCGTGGATATTTGTGATATACACACGTCCAACTCTTTCTCTGCTTCGTGTGTGTTTCCTAGCAATAGACTACGTAGACTAGCGGAGTGCTTGCTGAAGTATAGCGTGTGCGCTGTGCTTTGCGTCTTGTTACCAGATACTACTGCAAGCGATGCACCGACGCCAACGCCATGAAGAACAATGAGGATCGTACAACCGTGACCTTCAATGCGTGGGATCCTGACGTTTTGGGCCGGATGAATGATTTCGTGTCTAAGGAGTTCCCGTTTGTCCTGACGAGGAAAGGCGCTACTTCCAGGAGCTTGGTTGACCGTCTTGCAGATGATCTCCTTGAGGGGAAGGGCTTCGCGGTGACTTCGAAGTCTCTTCTAAATTCGTACACCGCAACGTACCTCAAACTTATCGTTCGTACGTATCTCTAGCCAACCGCCGTGTGTCGCAAACTTAAGGACTTGGGCTTGTTGGCGCCAGATGCCGACGTCGGTATGATCCCAAAAATCGGGGAAATGACAGACCCGTTGGGGTTGAACAGGAGGCATCCATCGGCGCACTATCTGGGAGACATCTGGCACAAGTGGTTCTACGAGATGCCTATGGTAAAGGTACGCAGAACCTGAAAATCATCTTGTTCGGAGTGTGCTTGGATGTCCGAATTTGATAGACAAACAGACGTGGGTGTAGGAAACCAAATCGCAAATACCAACAACACACACGCATCCACGGCGGTCGTATCATACTTTTCGTAGGACGACGGACGCACTTGGACACGTGAATTATCTGCAGCGTCGAGCTCAATTGGTAGACGGGCGTCTGCTGGCGGGCGATGCTTCATTCAAGTACGCCAAGGTTATCCGACTGCCTACAGGGCCGGACGGGACGCGTGCACGGCCCGTGTACGGCATATTTACGATCATGAACGAGTACGACCAGGTGAGGTAGACTTTGACGGTCGCATGCGATATCAACTAACTTCATGCACGATCATCTCTTGCAACATACACAATGTCTCACCCACAGCACGCACCGCCCCTCCTCGGTCTTCTCCCGATCTCCTCCATATTTTAGGTCGTTTTTTCGAAGGCCATGAAAACTGCGTCGGTCCACGATCTCAAGAGCGACCTCAAGATGATGTTTGTTCAGCGCTTCGTCGGCCACGGCTTCAAGCTCCCAGTGATCCTCTTCACAGGTACGAACTCGGGTTGGCTGGGCTCCGCCAGTTGTCGTCAGTTTGCACACACGCTTGCGTTTGTTGTATAGTTTTCGTGTCGTTTGTCTTACCCAAGTCTTGCACGTTTTTTTGCGCGGTTGCTACACCTGCTCCTGTTTGTTGTTTCACTGTTCTTGTTGTAGACGAATGCTGTGAGGATCGGAGGCTTTTCCTCACCATGTTCCAAGAGATCTTGGCAGATACTGGGGTCCGTTTGTACGATGCCGAGGACGACGATGTCGTAGCGGGACGGGCTGTTCTTTTTCAACTGTCTTTCCCCGCACTCGCACCTGGCAAATATGTTTGGGATTTGACATCGAGCGCAGTCGATCTTGCGGTTGCTGAGCTAGCCAAGGGCTGTCAAGACCAGGGGGACGTCTTGGGATTGGATTGTGAGTGGGAGCCAGCGCTTGGCGGCGCGACACCGAATCCTGTCTCGACTCTCCAACTTTCGCTTCCTGACGGCACCGCCTACTGCTTCCACCTTCATCGACGGACCAACCGGGCAACCGCCACATCCACAATCCCGAAGGTGTTGCAGAGTCTTCTCGAGAACGTTCCGTCGCAAAGGTACGTACGTGATGACTGTGTTCAAGCCGGCCGCCGCCTTTGGACGTCTTGCGTTCCCTCGTCGCACGCACGTTCGTCTCTCCCCACCTACTTCCGCCTCTCTCCACCTTACTGCAAGCGTCATCTCATGCATTTTGCCTATTATTTTCCCACTTCTCTCCAGGTCGGTGTAAATGTGAATTCTGACGCATCCCTGCTGGAAAGGTATTACGGAGTTAAAGTCGCCAACATGATCGACGTACGGACCCACGCACGGGAATGTTGGGTTGAGACCTCGTCTCGTTCTCTGGCGGGTATGGCCTCTTCATTGGTAGGGAAGGCCCTTCCCAAGGACCCGACTATTCGCTTGTCTCGTTGGAGCAACCCGTCCCTGACGGATGAACAGGTGCGATTCAGGAAGCGCTGACTTAATTGTATCTGCAATAATTGGGAACGTGCTCTGCTTCGCTCGTCTTCCTCAAGGTCTGACTTTCTCTTTGTGTCCTAACGTGCCATGACTTCCACATGCTACGGCCACAGGTACACATTGCCTGCCTAGATGCTTATGCATCCGTTCTCGTGCACCTGGAGGTCGAGAGGCGTAAAGATCCCATTCGGAACCCAGCTCCAACAACGCTGCCGGCGGGTACAAAGGTATGATTGCAAGTTGGTGTTTGTGCGACGACATCATACTTTTGTCCGCGGTCATACTTTGGGCGGTATGTCAGCACCTCTCGCCAACATTTCTGTGTTATTCGCTGATGTTCTTTTAGGTACGTCTCAACAGCAGCAATCGCGCAAGCTGTGTTGGTGTTGGAGAAGTGCAAGACGAGGAGACTAGCACTCAAGCTGAGAGTAGGTGGACTACACGGCGACGACGGGCAAGGCGTGTAGTTGAATACAACACTTCCTACGTCGTAGCTAACAACGGTTTTCGGGTTTGTCTTACAATATCGCGCTTGATGTTTCTTTTGTTTTTTTTAATGAGGTGTAAGGCGTTGCAAACCAAAATTTAACCTTTGTACGGATTTTTGAGGCCTGCACGTCGTTGTTTGTTTCATGCGTGTTCCGTCCGACCGGCAGGCGTTCCACCGTGGGTGTTGCCCTGATGCAGCAACTAATGAAGTGCACTTGTCTGTGGTGGTGCGTGAGTTGGTGATGTCGGCGGGGGTAGGAATGTGTGCTGTTTGTGTGTGGAAGGTGTCGAGGCGCAAGGTAGGTATAGAGGCGGTGATTATCTTGTTGCTGGCGCGAGTTTTTGTTGTTGTTGATGTATGTTGTATTTTCGGGGTGAACTGGGATGCGTGTGTGTTCGAGTATGTATATTAGGATGTGTGTGTTCGGGTATGTATATAAGGGCGTAGGTACGGCGGAAAGTGTGGTGGCGTGTGGTGTGGTTTTTGACGAACGGCAGGCAGGGTATGGTGTGGATTATCTTGAGACTTTCTCGCCTACTGCAAATGCTGCATCGATTCGTTTGTTGATAGCATTGGCGTGCAAGTATGATTTGGAATTTCTCCACTTTGACATTGAGCAAACATTTGTTCAGTCGGAATTGGATCACGAGGTGTTCATGAAGTTGCCTCCTGGCTGCGAGTCGATGACAGGAAAGGTAGTCCGTGTAGACAAGAGTTTGTATGGACTGAGGCAGGCATCTAGAACATTACACTAGAGACTTGTGTCGGACCTGAAGAGGATTTGTTTCGAACAGTCTCTGTCAGACCCCTGTGTTCTTCGTTTCATGATGGGAGACCAGGTGTTGGGTATGATTGCGATTCCTGTGGATGACATTCTGTATGCAGGAATTGAGAGGCTTGCCAAGATGGTTGCGGAAGCGCTAGGTGACTCTCTCCCCACGAAGAATTTGGGCGAGGTCAGGCTCTTTCTTGGTTGCGCATTCGTTCGCGACCGCGAGGCTGGTACGATTGAGATGTCTCAAGAGAGTTACATCAGGAGTGTTCTTGAGAGATTCAATGTTTGTCGCACCAGCTCGATCCCTGCTTCCCTTGCTAACGATTACAGGTCCGTGATGGAGGATGAGGGGGCAGGAGGTGTGCCGTTCCGAGAGGTGGTGGGGAGCCTGATGTGGATCGCCAACCAGACAAGGCCCGACATCTCGAATGCTGTGCGGGCGGTGGCAAGGCACTCTCGCGAGCCAAAGAGAAGCCACTGGAAGGCGGCCCAGAGGATTCTAAATTATCTTCTGGAGACGGCACATCTAACTTTGTAGTACAAGCAGGACACTATGGTAGACGTAGGCTCGTTGGTGTACGTAGACGCAGAGTTCGCCAGTAAGGCCACTGACCGCAGATCAGTTTCGGGAGCACTAATCTAGTTCTTGTAGCTGACTGTCTTGTTGCTTGGATTTCGAGGACGCAGAAATGTGTCACACTTTCAACAACTTAAGCAGAGTATGTTGCGATGGGTGACGGTGTAAACGAGGCTCTGTTTGTCAACAAAATGCTCGAGTTCTTGAGGCCTAGTGATAGAATCGGTAAGATTGAGGTACGAGAGGACAACGAGGGTGCGATTGCACTTGCTGAGAATCCACCCAGTTCGTGTAACAAGAAGCACATTGAGACGTGAGGCACCACTTTCTCAGGAATTTGAGTGTTGGAAGTCAGGCATGTCTCTAGCGAAGGACAGCATGCGGACATTCTGACGAAGGCTCTGCCGAGAGATCTTTTTGAAGTTGATCGTAATTTTGCTCTAGGCTCAAGATCTGAGAAGTAGAGGTCTGAGTTGTGTTTTATTTTGGTTGTTTATTTTGCTGATATATATAGTTGATCTGGTCGAGACAACAGCCCCAAGGGAGGGTGTTCGTCATAGTTGCTGCTGTGTGTGTCGACAGAGTGACGTAGAACAACTTGATTGGAGAGTTTGAATTGCGGGACTGTCCGCGTTGAAGATCGTTGAGTAGCCACGTATTATCAGATCAGCAAGGAACGTTCTGTGGGAATGTTCTTCGTGGATGGTGCATTACCCCGAGTGTGTTTCGTTGTGGATAGTGCATCAGCCAGAGGATTCATGGTACGTTGTGAAGTACGTGAGCCCCTGTTGAGTCTTTGTGTTCCGATATTATTGTGTTCCGGTATTGTGTTGTGCTTTTATGCGTTGGCCGAGCGATATGGGAAGTGTTGCGGTGCTGCGGTACTGGCCCCACCCTCGCACACTCCACCTTTTGACCTGTTGTCCTGGTCCAAGGTCTCATCAATACAACACCTTTTCCCCAGAAGCCACGAATATACCAACACTAGTCTGTGATTTGCACTACTGCACGTGTAATATATACATGGGAGGTGCTGTGCGATGAAACGACAAGAAGAGATACTATGAATAGATGAAGATGTAATAAGATAGGTACAGATTGATGATGGGAAAAAATATTGTTTTTTCCGTTTTCGAACGTACGTCGTACCCTTTGCCGCTCACGACACATCCATCGGCCACGAAAGCTAAGCTACAGTTGGTAGGAACTCAAACTTCTTGTTAAGTCACACAGGCTAGCTTGCGGTCCTCGTAGTTTTTTGGGTCGGGCGTGCAAAAATTGCTTCCGACACAGCGGCAACCGATCACGAGTGAGTGAACGGCTTCGGTCATGGGTGGGTCATGAAACAAACCGCAAGCAACACGACAGCGAAGGTAATCTGGGTGTGCTGTCAGCAGTGGACCAATTTCATTGAGTCCAGAATCCGTCGACTCCACACACGCCTTTATCGCTGTGGCTAGCCGGCCAGCCTTCTTGGCCGCAAGCCTTCTTGGCTGAGCCCATATAATCGGCAATCCATCCCAAAGCATCAAGTATCAAAGAAACAGAGTGGCTTTAAATAAATACTAAGGTTAGTGAGTTATCAAAGCTCGAGCTTTTTATTGATGATACACCAAACTTATCGGTAGGTGAAATTATATTAGCAATAAAGACTATTGATCTTGAGTCATCAAAATACGTAAGTTTCATTGTGATTGATTATTTACAGTTATTAGAGAGTGTGGATCAAAATACAAATCTAGTTCAAGAACTTGCTAAAATCACAAGAGCTTTAAAAAAATTTGCACGTGATTTAAACATACCAATTAATCATTGTTTTATCTCAATTAAGGAAAACATCAACCTTCCGATAACACACGGATCGGATGTCTTTCCTTTGGACAGAAGGGGGTCACTCATCAGGCAAGACCAACGAGTTCGCAGCTCAGTGTACTTTGAAACTTGGTCTCTCTGCAGAAAGGTCGATTCGACCTCTCTCTGGTCTTCTACATGTGTTTTCCTCCCATTTTTGGGCTTTGTCGTTTGCCCCTCTGGCCCCATATGACTATCCTCCACTGCTACCAGCCAGACGACCCAACCGGGGTCACACAGGAGGGAGGGTTGGACCCCCTCCTGCGGTTCCTGCCTGAGTTATTTTTATCGCGAGAAGGCTACAGCAATCCCTTCCCTCGTGACTGATGAAGTCGATCAAGTTTACTAACAACGAGCTTTCTTTGCGGCGCGTCGCTTCCAACGGAGACCAGGACTTAGTTACCGAGAGAAAAACTCACTCTGTCGGGATTCGAAACCATGACCTGGCCCTTAGCAGGCTGCGTGGCTACCCACTGGACCACCAGGGCGACCGGGTAAATGTAGTCTATCGACTACGCTACCGCATACTACGGTACACTTCGTCTTCAGAACAAAGCAAAACGTAGAAAACAACAATCAATCCTTTAGGTCAAAGGCTACCGTAAGAATCGGAGAGTGGCCTGCCATCGGGGAGTGAACGTTTACTTCTTTTTTTGTTCTCCCATCAGTGGACTCGGTCGCCTGCCCCTCTGGCCCCTATCCTCCACTTCTACCAGCTAGACGACCCAACCGGGGTCAGATAGGAGGGGGGGGGTGGATCCCCTCCTGCGGTTCCTGCTTGAGACATTTTTATCGCGAGAAGGGCACAGCAATCCCTTCCCTCGCGACTAATGAAGTCGATCAAGTTTACTAACAATGAGCTTTGCAGCGCGTCGCTTCCAACGGAGACCAGGATTTCATTAGCGAGAAAAAACTCACTCTATCGGGACTCGAACCCATGACCTGGTCCTTAGCTGGCTGCGAGGCTACCCACTATATATATTGCCCACCCCCGCGCTAACTCTCCGATCCATGCCCGCTCTCTAACTAATTAACCCCGTATGAACGCCCTGCATGCTTCTTGAACGGTGGTGCCAACTCTTCGTTAGTGTGTGTACCGACTATCCGATCCGTTCTACAATCCTCCTCCTGATCCGTTCCAACTCTCCGATGTTTAGCAATCCAAAAACACAACATTCGAGCGACTATTTACTACATAGATACAGCGAAGGTTCGTGGAGAGGACGGGGGAGGTTCGGGGAGACAACCCTAGAAAATAGAACCCGCCGACCCATCGCAAAATTTACATGATGTGATCCTGAAAATGACCTGAGAAATCACGAAACCAAGGGTCACGCGGATTGAGGTTCACTACACATCTGACTCGAAGCAAACAACAAGGAAGGTAGATTTACGTAGCCCACAAAAAACGACTCCAGATATTGAGCCCATGAAAAAATACTGTTTGGAGTTCCCATCAACAAGTAAAACGGCTAAAAAACAACGACGGGAATAGGAAGCTGCTCTCTTCCTTCCTCGTTTCGAAGCCGGAAACAGTCCATTATTGGGCTTTCCGCCGACTTTCCGCCGACTTTCCGCCAACCAGGTCTACCCCTGCAACACCTAAAACAAGGGGGGCTTGACAACAGATGCCGTATTCAACCATCCGCGCGGAACCGCTAAAACGGGCTTAGCAGCACGGTGCGCTGCAGAGCATTCAGCAACTGGATCTGGGGCATCATGTATTCCGCCATTGAGCACGTTGGCCTCGGTGCGAAGTCCGATCTGGGCCGCTGAACAGGGTGGTCCCTTGTCTGGCCTCCGGCCTGCCGCGGCTTTTGCAGGCTCTGCCGGCTCCATTTCAGAAGGAGGATTCTATTTACGTCACCGGTGGCGTTATTTCTTATATACGTCACCGCCCGTGTCTCAGCCCACAGAGCTTTAATTGGCACAAAATAAATTGCGTTGTGTAGCTATGACCCACACCAATCATACAAGTCTTTCGACGGTCACATCCGATAAGTGGTTGCGGAGATTTGCTCAAAAGGGGGCTCAGCAGTATGATACTGCATCTACCACAAAAAAATCCGACTGTAACTTCGCGCAGAGAGCTCTGATCGACACCAATAGCTTAAGTGATGGCTGTGAATTCATGGAAACACAACGCGAGTTACATAGTTGGTGTCGATGAGAACTCTGCGAGGAGGCACGGTCGTTTTTTTCTGGCAGATACAGTATATCATACCGCTGAGCCCCCTTTTGAGCACATCTCCGCAACCACTTATCAGATTTGACCGTCGAAAGACTTGTTGTATGATTGGTGTGGGTCATAGCTACACAACGCAACTTATTTTGTGCCAATTGAAGCTCTGTGGGCTGAGATATGGGCTGAGATACGGGCGGTGACGTATATAAGAAATAACGCCACCGGTGACGTAAATAGAATTATTGATTTCAGAAGGTTCTGACGCGGATGGTACCTCAAGCAACGATTTCTCGCCCATGGCAGGAACGATTGGGGAAGGCTCCACCCCGGACCCAGGGTCTGCCGGGGCCCCAGCGGATAATTCGGCCGTAGCATGTCTACCCTCGATGGTCCCTCCGCTGCTAGTGCTGCCAAGTCCTTGCGCTGAGTTGCTGGCGACAGCAGAGGAAGATGTATCCGCCAATAGAGAACTGATTTCTGAGGGCGTCGTTGCATCGGCCTGCTCCGGCGATCTTCCTGACGCCAACTTGCCGCCACGGTTCATGAACGCCCTGGCACTCATGCTGCGACGTCGGATCTCTTCTGCTGCCTGGCGAGCGACGAGTGAAATCCGGTCGCGTGTCGCGCTCGGCGTACTTGTTGGTGTCTTCGCTGCTCCAGTCAGCTTGAGGCATCACTCTCTCTGTCTGTGGCTGCCGAGTCATTGCTGTTACCGCGACGGCCAGTCGGCGTTGTCGGCTGCCTGGCTGAAGAGAGAACGAGCGTCGATGCCGATGCTGTCGATGCCGATGTTGCCATGCCCCGTGGAGTCGTCACCGCTGCTTCGGCCGGCTGCGGCGACGGTGTCGAGGCCGAACCTATCTTAGCATTCTTTACCGCCCTGACGACGCGAAGGCTGGTCGGTGTTGTTGGCTGCCTAGGCCCAAAGAAATCACGATTTCCAGTCAATATCGCTCTGTCTCTCGGGGTCGTTGCTACCTTGGCCAAGTGCGGCGAAGTTGTCGAGGCCGGGTTACCCCGCCTGATCGTGACTGCCCTGTCCTTGTGGTTACCGCGACGGCCAGTCGGCGTTGTTGGCTGCCTGGCTGAAGAGGGCACACGAGTCGATGTCGATGCCGCCGTGCCTCGTGGAGTTGTCACCGCTGTTTTGGTTGGATGCGGCGACGGTGTCGAGGCCGGGCTAATCGTAGCATCCTTTGCCGTCCTGCCAGCGTGAAGGGTGGCCGGTGTTGTTGGCTGTCTGGTCCCAAATAACACACGATTTCCAGTCGACACCGCTGTGTTTTTCGGAGTTGTTGCTGTCTTGGCCGGATGAGGCGAAGTTGTCGAGGCCGGGTTACCCTGCCCAATCTTGACCGCCCTGTCAGCAATACGATGATTGGTCGGTATGGGTGTTTTTATTTGCCTGGCTGAAGACGGAACACGAGTCGCTGTCAAAGAGGCCGTGCCTCGTGGAGTCGTCACTGTTTTAACCGGGTGCGGCGACGCCGTCGAAGACGGGTTGCTCCTACCGATCGCCGCCAACCTGTCATCGTTGTTGTTGCGATGGCCGGTCGTTGTCGAAAGCTGCTTGTCCGTTGAAGAGAACCGCGCCCCCGTGGATGCAGCCGTGCCTCTTGGAGTCGTCGCCGCTTTCGCCGGATCCGGCGGCTTCCTAGAGGCCGGGTTATCTGCACCATTTGTGCCCCCCTAGCGTTGCTGCTATCGCGAAGGCTGGTCGAGTTTGTTGACTGTCTACCCGAAGCGGGTACACGCGCCGCTGTCGATGACGCCGTGCCTGTTGGAGTCGTCGCTGTTTCGGCCAGCCCAGGCGACCTTGCCGAAGGTGGGGAACTTCTACGGTTCGAGTGCACCCTGCTGCATTTGTAGCGAAGCTTGCATGGGCTTGTTTGCTCCGGGGTCACAAAGAACGCACCCATTCCTGACAGAAGTGCAGTGTTCCTTGGATTTGTCGCAGACTTGCCCTGCTCCGGCGACGTTCTCCAAACTGGGGTACCCTTCCACTTCCCAGCCGCCCTGCTACTGCCATGCCCGGGGCGTGGGGTTGGCTGCCTCTCGACGCCAGAAACGTCCTGCCCTTTCTTCGTTCTTACGCCCTCCGAAGATGTAGTGGCTGCGGCGGGGTCCCGCGACTGCCGCGTGGCCGGCTTGTCCCCACCACCTTTGCCTTCAATAGCTCTTACTGGTGCAGTTTCCTTGGTGTCGGGCTTCACCTGAGAGACCACCGGGGTCTGTTGAGCCGGGGTCTCTTGAGCACCATTGTCCGCTGAAGCGTGTCCCGCTGCTGCTGAAGATCATGCTGCGGCCTGCCCCACTACCGTCCTCGACACAGACGTGGGTCCCTGAATTCCGCATACAGCACCAGAATGAAGTACTGAGGGGGGGGGGTCAGCCTCAGGTTGAAGAGCGTTCCCAGGACCAAGCAGGGCTTGGATCACCGAGTGTTTAGTTGCACATCCATCGACCACAACGCCTCTCCTCTCTGCTAAGAGGCCGAGTTCCGCCAGGCTTTCGCTGTCAAGCCAACTGGCAACTATGTTCATCTCAACGAGTAGTGCCCCGTCTGAAACGACATGAAAAGGCCGGCGGGGAAGGCGGAAGGGGAAAAGAATATAGTTTCGCCGAGTAAGCGCGCCACCGGCATTGCGGATTTCGAATTTCGAGAGAAAACAAACATTTCAATGAACTCAACCCGAGGCGGAGGGTGCTCAAGCGGCGTTGGAATATATCAGTCAACCGGTCCATTCAAGAGTCATAGCCCCTACTGCAACAATATACTACGAGGGAGTAAAAGGGGGGCTCGAACATCAGGTGTGGAATGGCAAATTTGATATTCCCAGAAACAACGCCGTGCATGGTATAAACACACCATTGGGTGGCCGAAAAACATAGGGAACATAACGGTCCAGACGGGCGAAATCAGAGGTAAGGGATTGAAAAAAAAACTGCCCCGGCGTTCCCCCTACACACGCTATATTTTTCGTGGAGGCCGTCATGCTCAAGGGACTTAGGTAGTAAAAGAAGCATGGCCTAAGGCGCGGAGGTTGATTGGAAAACTCGAGATTTCCACAGGTGCAAATGGAGGAGAACCGCTCAGCAGAACGGTTTTGATATTTTCGAAACTTGCATGGAGTGGTATATCCGGGGGAATATGTCTCACAGAACAGAGGGTACTACGTAGTGTGGAAACCAGGATAAAAGTATCTTCCTAGGGGTAATGATGCACATGGGACCAGCAAAGATCGTCGGACTACATGAACAATGTCCTACCGTCCGCAGTTGCCAGGAAAGATTCACAGGATACCGTGACTATTCATGTGACTCTCGGAGATGGGGAGATGGAGGCAAAAGAGCCCCCCGTTCCTCACTCTCACACCTTCCACCATTCTTGAACTAGCTAAGCCGAGACTCTCGGCTACGTTTGGCACCTCGTCGCCACATTACAAGAAAGGCGATTTTACCTCTGTTGGGGAACGGTTATTCACCACTCCAGCGACCCTTGCTCGGAACAGAGAGAGGGTTTTCTCATTGTCGACGACGAAGAGATTCGAACTCTCGCGGGCATAGCCCAACGGCTTAGCAACAGAGATAGGGTAATCTCAGTAGTTCATTTTTTCATGGAGGGGTTCAATTTTCTGCTGCATGAACTCCGCAAAACCGAAGCCATGACGACGGTGCATCGTGCGAAAAAAAGTACAAAAGCGTTCGGATATCCGTACAAATGAACGGAGTACCTGCGACTTCCTCAGTACATTCTGTCTTTGAGAGTAGATGCTTCTACACGGGGGGGGCTGTGCGCGGAGGCCGCCCGTTACATCATGCGCGTCCTCGCTGCCAGAACAGCCGAAACGAACTGAAAAGCTGTCAATTATTACAACACACATAGATTTCTCCTCGACCAATTCTTTCCTGCGACACATACGAAGTTCGACACAGCAGCAGTTAATGCCTCGCTACCTGCCTCTCTTTCGTGTCGGAGCTAGCGAGTGGTAGGTATCACCAGGAAACTTATATGGGCCCACAACTCCCTCGCCACACTACGCTCAAATGCTCACGTCCCTGCTAGACAAACACTTGCTCTCCCGCACGAGCAGTTCGGGCAGATGCAGCTTTAGTGTTCCCAACAGACTGAATTGCAAGCAATTTCTCCAACTCATATGACATTCGGTAAAGTCCAACTGTTTCATCTCCGGAGTAACATCGGGCTTCGACATATACATGAGGAACCAACCATCTCGACATCCGACTTCATTGCCTACCAAAGACGGTTGCACACGAACCCCCGCAGTGAATTCCTCCTTAATCTCTTATTGACAACTAGGTGTGTGGTGTGGGGTAAGAGTGCTCGCGGAGCCAAATTCTGGACGTACTGCTACCGCCACCCCCCCCCCCCCCCCCTCGGTGTTTGCCATCGGGGTTGGGTTTTCGTCGCTTGGCAACGACGTTGCAAAACAAGCCGCCCCCCCGGTGTTTGCCATCGGGGTTGGGTTTTTGTCGCTTGGCAACGACGTTGTAAAACAAGCCACCCCAAATATAGCCCCCATAGTATGCGCTACCAAAGACGCGTGACGCATGGATGCGTGGAGTGAGGACTGCTTACGGAACCCTCACAGGTTGAGTGATGTAGGAGACTGCCGGACACATAGACGTGTTGAGTGATTATAGCTGTATACTGAAACCCCACGGAAAGGGGAGGTTTGAGATTGCCAGACACATAGACGGGTTGCGTGGGGATAGCTGCTGGAACCCCACGGGTTGAGTGATGTTGGAGTGCCGGACACATAGACGCGTTGAATGAGGATAGACACATATTGAACCTCACAGGTTATTTGTATTGGAGATTGCGAGACACCTAGACGTGTTGAGTGAGGATAGCTGCATACTGAAACCTCACAGAT